TGTGAAGGAGACATGGGGCGGGCACTCTTTGTCCTGAGAGAGCAGAGCCTGCTCCATTAAAAAGAGCATTTGAATGAAGTGATCTTAAATGTAATTTTGTAAATCTACATAGGAGAGATAGAGTTCTGCTTGCAGTAGAATGAATGAAAATAGGGATGGTTTAGATGGAAAGGCAGCTGGGAGGGACAGAGAAGACAGCCCTTCACAAAAATTTTAAGAGTTTGGAGTTGCACCCATTTAGACTCCCCAACACTCAGTCTATCCTCAAATGGGGAAAATTGGTGGAGTTTTACCTACAAAGCAGCTTTTTTATTAGATTTGTAATTCCATGTCCCATAGCACTTCATGCGTCCATCAACTCTTCATTAATGATCTAAAATCCGCCAGGCAGAATAATAGGTTCTTTGTGTATGTTGCATGCATTCTGACAGTCTTAGAGGACAGCACTTCTCAAACCTATTTAACAGATGAAGAGCCTGAGGATTAGAAAGTCTGGTTATGTGCCCAAGTTCAGGGCTAGAGTAGGACAAAGGTAGAACTCTATCTCTGGTCTGAATTCTACAACCAACTGTTCCACTGTCATTTCTTCATAAAAATACTACTCTTGGGCGCCTGGGTGGCTCAGTTGGTTAAGCCGCTGCCTTTGGCTCAGGTCATGATCCCAGGGTCCTGGGATCGAGTCCCGCATCCGGCTCCTTGCTCAGTGGAGAGCCTGCTTCTCTCTCTGCCTCTGCCTGCCCCTCTGCCTGCTTGTGCTCTCCCTCTCTCTCTCTCTGACAAATAAATAAATCTTTAAAAAAAAATACTACTCTTTCCCCACTTTTCTGCAATAGCAGACTTTTTTTTTAAGATTTTATTTATTTATTTGACAGAGACAGACACAGTGAGAGAGGGAACACAAGCAGGGGGAGTGGGAGTGGGAGAGGGAGAAGCAGGCTTCCCGTGGAGCAGGAAGCCTGATGCGGGGCTTGATCCTAGGACCCTGGGACCATGACCTGAGCCGAAAGCAGCCTCGTAAGGACTGAGCCACCCAGGCACCCCTGCAATGGCACACTTTTAATAAATTAAGCAACAGTGCATAAGTAGGTCTGTCAGAGGATACTGTTTAGTTACACTGATCTGTTTGCCTATGCCTGCACTTATGCCACAAGCTTTTGATTATTATAGACTTTTAGTAATTCTTAATAGTTAGTAAATTAAGGTGTATTTTATTTTTATTTTTCAAGAAGATATGAGGTATTCTGGGCCACTTGTGAATCAAATTATTTATTTATTTTTAAAGTTTTTATTTATTTGTCAGAGAGACAGAGAGAGAACAGGCAGGGGGAGTGGCAGACAGAGGGAGAAGCAGGCTCCCTACTGAGCAGGGAGCCCAGCGGGACCTGATCTGGGATCATGACCCGAGCTGAAGGCAGATGCTTAACCAACAGAGCCACCCAGGTGTCCCTGTGAATCCATTTAAATTTTATAATCAGCTTGTCAAGTTTCAAAGACACATACACATGGACACAGACATTTACACACAAACATTTGGGGTTTTATTTGTAGGAAAAGGATGACAGTCATCTGGAGATTAAATTTGAGGAGACTTAGTATGGTCATAATATTGAAACTTTTATCTAAAAACATATTTTTGTTTTTAGTTAGGGCTTCATTAATTTCTCTAAATACTATCAGTGTATTTTTTTTTCCCTGACTTGATAAACTTTTAGAATTGTATTTACTTACAGGTACCTGGTATTTTGTCATGGTAATCTACAAATTGTACTTTGTATAATTTTTTATTTTTTTAAATTTTTTTATATAATCTCTACCCCCAATGTGGGGCTTGACTCATGACTAAGCCAGCCAGGCACCCCTATTTTGTTTAATTTTTTTCATTCATTTTGTTACCACAAACACAAATATATTTTTCCTATTAATATTATACCCACCAACCTTTATAAACAACTTTACTTATGGGAAAATTTATCATTAGTAGATTTTCTTCATATACGTTCTTATCATCTCTTAATGATAAGCTAGCTTTGTTTCTTATTTTCCAATCCAAATCTCTTTGATTTGTTTCCATTAGTTCCCTATATAGGATCTTCATTAAAATATTGAATAGAAATGGTGATAGCTGGCATCTTCATCTCCTTCCCAGTTTTAAAGTAAAGGCTCTCAGTGAATTGACAGCAAGTATAATGTTTACTGTAGAGTTTTTCTAGTATCCTTTATCTAGTGAGATAAGACATCTTTTCATTATGAATGAATACTGATTTTTATAAATCAATTTAGCAACTTAGGAATGATTTTTTTTCATTTAGTATGTTATTGTGGTATACCCCTCGCTTACGTGAATATGAAAACTGTCAGAATAAAAAGGTTTAAAATGAGTTTTTAATCTGCTTAGGACTAGAATTTCTATTAAGTGTAAGGGAGGATTTTAGTCACATTTGTTTTTAATATGAATATCAAAATGTACCAGTGTGATTTCTTATTAAAAAAAACAATATTCTTGGGGTGCCTGGGTGGCTCAGTGGGTTGAGCCGCTGCCTTCGGCTCGGGTCGTGATCTCAGGGTCCTGGGATCGAGCCCCGCATCAGGCTCTCTGCTCGGCAGGGAGCCTGCTTCCTCCTCTCTCTCTGCCTGCCTCTCTGCCTGCTTGTGATCTCTCTCTCTGTCAAATAAATAAATAAATAAATCTTTAAAAAAAAAAAAAAACAACAATATTCTTTCCCTTACTTCTCTGAGTAGCTAACTTTAATACACCAGGACACAAGATATAGTGCATCTGTTTTGGAACATGCTATTCACTTCTTTTGGTCTATTTGTCTATGCCAACACCTATACCACAAACTCTTATTACTACAGTATTTAATATCACATCTTTCTTTTCAAGAGTATATTAGCTATTCATAGCCATTTGCAAGCCAATTTAAATTTCAGAATTACTCCCCACTCATCCTGCAGTCTGCTTCTCCCTCTGACCTTCTCCCCTCTCATGCTCTCTCAAATAAATGAATAAAATCCTTAAAAAGAATAAATTTTAGAATTATCTTGTCAGCATTCACACAGAATTCACATGTATATAAATATTTACAAGTAAAAGTTATGTGGCTTTATTGAGGATGAGGGATTACGGTCATTAATAGATTAAATTTGAGGAAAATTAACATGTTTACATAATTGAAACATCCCTGTAAAAGCATATTTTTCCATTTATTTAAGTCTTTAGCAATTTCAATAAATAATAGCTATATAATTTTTCCATAGAGTTCTTATATTTTTATTATGTATATTTTTAAGAATCAGGTATTTATTATGATGATTTATAAGATATTCTTTAATTCATTATACTACGTTGCTACCAAAAAGAAAGTGTCTCTTTGTATATTGATCTCATAGCCAGTAATTTTATTTAAAGGCATTTTTATTGATTTAATAGTTTAACATTAGTGTATTTTCCTCATATACACTTTATTCATGTTAATTATACTGACATTGTTTCTTATTTTCTGGTTTCTATCTCTGTGATTACTACTGTTTCCCGTTACTTTTTTTTTTTTAGTGTCTTTATTAAAATATAGACTAAAAATGGTGATAGCAGGCATCTCTCTCTTCTTCTCAATATTAAAATAAAAAGATTTCAAGTTTTCCACATGAGATATGATTTTTACTCTGGGGATTTTTTGGTAGATATCCTTTATCTACTTTGAAAACATACCTTCCATCATGAAAGAATAATGATTATTTTTATGAAACACATTTATCAATTGAAATACATTTTTAAAATTGATCTGTTGATATGGTATGCCAGTCCTTAACCTATTTGGCTTCAGATTCATTCTTCAGTCTTGTCTGTTCTGCACTTTACTAAACACAATTCGTGGGGTGCCTGGGTGGCTCAGTGGGTTAAAGCCTCTGCCTTTGGCTCAGGTCATGGTCCCAGGGTCCTGGGATGGAGCTCTGCATGGGGCTCTCTGCTCAGCAGGGAGCCTGCGTCCTCCTTTCTCTCTGCCTGCTTCTCTGCCTACTTCTGATCTCCGTCTGTCAAATAAATAGATAAATAAAATCTTAAAAAAAAAAAAAGAAACTAAACACAATTCGTAGGCATCAGGATGACGGTTCAGTTCAGCCAACAGGAGAACCCAGAGGAGATTGGACCCCAGCAGGATGGGAGTGCCCCAAATATCTGTGCATCCTATTCATCAGGTAGCTTCTGGTTTAATTACTATATATTGATTCCAAGGGGCGCCAGGGTAGCTAAGCGGGTTAGACCCTCTGCGTTTGGCTCAGGTCATGATCCCAGGGTCCTGGGATCAAGCCGGGCATCCAGCTCTCTGCTCAGCAGGGAGCCTGCTTCTCCACCCCACCCGCCCACCTCTCTGACTACTTGTGATTTCTGTCTGTGAAATAAATATATCTTGATTCCAGCCTTCATGTCTGATAACCAGAGATCCCGGCCCCTGCCTGTTTTGCGTTCCAGCTTCATTTCACACTAAGGCTGGGACGTGACCCATTCCACACTTGGCAAGGGTTTCAGGAGGTAAAGTCACCAAGAGTTTGCCAAGATACGGCATTTCCCAGAAAGCCTTAAGTCACAAGAAAGGAGCCAAAACGAGAACTCCCAGGAAGGAGGACAGAAGAAGCCAAAACCAGAGAATGGCGGTGGGTCACACAGACATGGGCCAGTGCCTACTTTGAGCCCTGCTGACCCAGGCAGGGCTCCCCAACTGAAGCATCCCCTCGATTCCGCTTGAGGGTTCCAGGGGCATGAGGACATTGGCATGAGAGGCGTGACACGGGATCAAGGGAGGGATTAATTCCAAGACTACAAGAAGTCAGCCGGACTCTAACGAGGGACCAGCAGCAACCACCACCGTGAAAGCCTGGCACGCACAGCCCTGCCCCCGCTATTGGCCCAGAAGACTCCAGGCAGGTGTAACCGGATGTGACGCCCCTGATTTCCTCTTCAAGATCATCTGGCTGTGCGGCATTCGATCTGGGGCTGTACGGGATTCGATCTGAGGTGCGTAGAACCACATCAGCAGAGGGAGGATTCCCAGGATCTGCTTGGAGTCAAGTAAGATTCCAAATGAGAGCTGAGGAGATCCCGTATCACAGAAATGAGGAGACACATTAGATGAGAGCCCTGATCCAACTCTGGTAACCCCGGCCCCGCCTATCAGGCTGGCCTACGACACACTTCCTGTTTGCGATCTGATCGAGGTGACAGCGTTTCTGTTGCGGGGCTAAGAGTCCCTTGACCTCTTGGTAGTCCAGAAAAAGCCCCCAGAGTGAGTCTTGAGGGGCCCACCGACCCCAGACAGTGGTGGACTCGGTGAGCCTCGGCCAGTCTGTAAGCCCCGGGAGGCTTCGGGCAGGGGCGGCGGAAGTATGGCTGACTGACTTCAGCCTCCAGAGTCTGAGGGAGGTGAGAGCTTAGCCTGAGGCAGGCAAGAGCTTAGCCCGAGGCAGGCGGTGTCCTGTGGGCAAAGGAAGGAGCCTCAGGCCCCGCGGGGGGACTCCGGTAGGAGTCCCGGCGAGGACCCCGAGTGAGTGCTCATGCTTCCCTGGATCGCGGGTAGAGGTTGCGGCACAGCATTAAGCCCTTGTGGTCAGGTCTCCGTGTCCGGCAGATGAGGTGTCGCCTCACTTCCTTTCTGGGTGTCTCGGACACGTGGGGCCTTGTTTGGAAGGTGGAACACCAGGTAATAGATGGCAGCAGGCACATCACCAATCAGTATTAGACTAGCACTTGTGAGGATGCTGGGACCGACCAACTGATTGATGGCAGAGGGGCTACACAGAGCCCCTCCCCTGTTGTCAGCCCTGAGAGGCCCAGGGAAGGGATGGCAGGCAGAGGGGACTTTTCCTTTCCTCCTCTGGGGCTCAGGAAGTTAAAGCATTTGTTCAGTCAGGAGGAGTCCTAGACCCTGGCAGTTGTCATTGAGTTACGTCTGAATGGCAAAGGTCCCAGACAATGACGGTCAGGAGTCTTCCTAGCTCACTTCCTACGCTGGGCACCTAGGAGATTGGGACATAGTCAGATTCAGCAGTGGACAGGGTGACCAGGCGGTACTGGAGTCCATGTGGACATACAGAGTCAGAACTGAATGGGATCCACCCCAAAACATAGGGTCATCAAAGAGACCCTGGACCTTATTCAGTCCAGAGAACTCTGCACAGAGACTACATGAGAAGATCCCCCTTCTTTGGGGGGTTGGAGACAGGTGAGATCCTTGATGTATGTGCCTATATCGTATGAGGTCATCAAGGAAAGGGATCCAGATCCTCTCACAGGTCACAGTAGGAACTTGAGTGAGATCCCACGGGTAGATGTACCCACCCCAGAAAAGAGGGACCTTTACAGTTTCTACCTCCTTCTGTCAGCCCAGGAAGCCCTTAAAAGAGGGGGAAAGGAACTGCCCTTCTTCACTTCCTTCTCAGGTAACTCATGAGGATAAGGCATTCTTATGTACAGAAGGGTTGACATCACATAGAGGGGTCAGACCTGAGACCCCACCAGTTGCCAAGTCAAGAACCCAGAGTGAATACTGAGGGTCCACTGACACCAGGAGAGTGCAGATAGTGAGGAATCCTGCCCTGAGCTGTTGTCAGCACTGAGAGGCTATGGGAGAGGCTGTCAGTAGACATGTGCCCTAATTACCTTCTGGAAATCAGAAAGTGGAGGCTTTGTTCTGAAGGGACAATGTTAGGTCAGCAAATGAAGGGATCCCAGGACCTGCCTGGATTCAGAGTAAGGCAATGAAGTGAGAACTGGGGGGACCACCACCGGCAGTATAGATAGCCTCCACCCAGGCTAGTTCCCGCTGTCAGCCTTGGGAAGTCCCAGGTAGGCCTTCTGGAAAAGGTACCTGCATCAGTTGTCTTAGGAGATGTGACTTTGGTCTTCGGGGGGCCATCCCATATCGAAAGCCAAGGCAATGCACCTGAGGGAGGACTGATGGGACCACCCTCCTCAGAACAGAAATGGCTGTCTAGAGCCCGACCACCCCCCGCTTTCTGCGGTCTCTGAGAATTCTCAGCCTGGGTTTGCTGGCTGCTTCCTCAGGAGCATTCAGACTCCTTCCTTCACTGTTGTTCAGGGGCATAGCAACCAAGAGGTTGGGAGACCTGTGAGGCCTTAGAAGAGTGTTCCCAGGAGAAGTCCACTGGAGGCAGTTTTATCAGAGCCACCCCAGCTGGGTTGAGCAGCCGAAGCCACTCATGTCTCCTTCTTCTTCTTAGGCCGTGATTCCCCATTGCCCACTCTCCTCTCCTCACTCCTGTCTGTTGCTACTCATAAAAGTCAGCATGCCTCAGCACCAAAAGAATCCACAATGCTTATATGATCAGTGCTTTCAGACCTGCAGTGAGATCCAAGATATGGAGGTTGACCAGGTCTCCAAGGCTCTGCAAGAGACCCATCTCTCCTCTTATCCTCTGATACCTGGCAATTCCAAGGAGGCTCCTGATGCTGGTAAACCCAGTACCCCTGAGAGTCATCAGAGTTTCTGCTCATCTTCCATCGCCATGACAGCCACCTCATCAAGTGAATTGAATGAGGGCGCCAATGGCCAAGAAGAAGAGGTTGGCACCTCATGGGCTGGGTCTACCCCCAAGAATGTGCCTATACGTGCTCTAGATGAGAAAGTTATTTCGTTGGTCAATTTCATGCTCTTCAAGTATCACATGAAAGAGCCCGTGACAGAGGCAGATATGAAGGTCGTCACCAAAGAGTATGAAGACCACTTCACCGAGATCTTCCTGAGAGCCTGTGAGCACATGGAGATGGTCTTTGGCCTTGATGTGAAGAGCGTGGATCCCACCAACCACTGCTATGGCCTCTTCATCAAATTGGGCCTCACCTATGATGGGGTGCTAGATGGTGAAGAGGGCATGCCCAAGACCGGCATCCTGATCTTTATCCTGGGTGTGATCTTCATGAAGGGCAACAGTGCCACCGAAGAGGAAGTCTGGGAAGTTCTGAATTTGACGGGGATATATGCCGGGCAGAAGCACGCCATCTTTGGGGAGCCCAGGGAGCTCATCACCAAAGATTTCGTGAGGGAAAAGTACCTGGAGTACCGGCAGGTGGCCGACAGTGATCCGGCACAGTTTGAATTCCTGTGGGGCCCGAGAGCCCACGCTGAAACCACCAAGATGAAAGTCCTGGAGTTTCTGGCCAAGGTTCATGGGACTGACCCAAGCTCTTTCCCGTCTCCGTATGAGGAAGCTTTGCAAGATGAAGAAGAGAGGGCCCGCGCCAGAATTTCTGCCTGGTCCACTTCTACTTTTGGGGCCAATGCGCGTTCTAGGGCCAAGTCCAGCCATTTCTCTTGCTCCTAGAGAAGCCCAAGGCAGGTTTTTCACTTTGTGTTTGAGAAAGGGCAGTTAGTGTTCATAGAATTTAGGTCTGGGTTGGGGCTGAAAGGAATACGGTAGATATGCCTATGTGTTCCTACATTATTGTGTAACTTGAAAATTTATTCTTTTTTAACATAATGTATTTGTTCAAATATTGTGTCTTTAATGTAGATTTAATTTAATTTAGATTTAATTAGCTTAAAAATCTACAAGTTTGTGGATGACATTGGTCACACATTTAATGTTATAATGAGGTTTAATTATACGAGCTTTGTTATTTTGTGAAACTAATTGTGAAACCATCTTATTTTGTCATCTAGAATAACATAACATGGAATTGGTATAGGCATTTACTGGAAATGTGAGAGTGATCAGCTTTAAGGTGGTTGGGTTCAAAAAATAGAGAACAAATTAAAGATTGCCAATCTGTGGCTCTCTTTTACCTTTTACATTTTGTTTTATACAATTAAATTATATACACTTTAATATGCTTAATTTGTTTATGGATATATTAAAAATAAACATCAATAAATTAGACCCCATGCTCACTGTTTCTTTTATTCCCCGAACCTTCATCAAACATGTGCTCTTTGGAAATCACCATGTTTGTCTTTGAAATTATAGCATGAGCAATACCTACAACTGCACTTACAAATTTTACTTATAGGATCAGCAATCCTATCATTACAGTGGGATGCCTTCTAATATCTTAGGGGCAAATACAAGATGGAGTTAGCAGGTAAGTGGGGGTATTCCATATGAGACTATCAAGTGTAAATGGCCAGGGACAAGGGATTTTGGACATTGGGAAAGCTGGAATTCCTGTAGGGAGTGTTAATTTTTAACTTAAATTTGGACTTAGGGCAAGCTGAGCCTGAGGGGGTGGTGATCAGAAATCAGACCTTCAGATGGTGTGTCTCCCAGTTGAGACTCAAAAACCTTGAATGGAAAACTATTCTTTGTAGTTAATTAGGGGGTATAGTTTAAAAAGGGAGAAATCTTTAGGGCAGGAATGGAAGTTGTCCTGTGATGGTATCCTTGTTCCACAGAACATAATTCACAAACAAGTTTCTATACACATAGTCTTCAAAGAGTTTTCAGAGATAACAGTGATACTTTATTGAGATGAGACACCGAGAAACCGTTGGTTGCCCTGGCCTAGGAGGGCAAGAGGCTACTCCATTTAAGGCATATTTTAAATAAGCTATTTTCAGTATAATTTGGCATAGTCTAAGAAATGCTTATATTTTTAAGGGTGTGAAATTAGTGAGAATAGGAGTGATCTGAATGGAACAGAAGCTAGGGAGGCAAGGAATTGGTCCTTGTCACAAATTCTAGGAGTTCTGAATTGCATCCAGGTGAGGAAGAAATTCCCTATTCTTTTTTTTAAGATTTTATTTCCTTATTTATTTGAGGGGGCCAGGGATGGAGCAGAGGGGGAGGGAGAAGAATGGGGAAAGAATCTCAAGCTGAGTCTCTGCTGAGTGCAGAGTCTGACCCAGGGCTAGACCCCATGATCCTGAGATCATGTCCTGAGCCCAAAACAAGAGGAGATGCTCAACCAACTGAGCCACCCATGTGCCCCATCTACAGTGTCTCGGTTTCTATAAATTCTGGAGTCCTTATAGGACTCCATTTACCTTTGGATAATAAGACTTCTAGGACTCTATTACCTTTGGGTAATAGATGATAGAGAAAGATGATAGATAGGTGATGGATGGATAGATATATAGATAGATAGATGAAATAGATGGAATAAAAAGAATTTTGGTTTTCAGTGTGCATAATTTTATTTGTGCAGATGTCTGGCATTTTCAGTTAGGTGATAGATAGCAGAGAATCATGAGGTAAAGTTTTATCAATGCACCAAGAGTAAGAAAATTCTCAGTGTACTGTGATCATAGTGGTTATTGAAAAGGACAAAGTGTAATAGTGCTTTTGAAAAAGTGAAGTATGGCAAACACTTCCTGCAAAGATTTACAAGGTCCTTTTGAAAAATATATGACTCTATTGGAAAGCACTTGTTAAATAGTAAGATCTCATGAAGTTGGAGAATTGCCAAGAACATTTTGCCTCCTCAGAAACTCTACAAGGAGATGAAGAGGGTCATTGGCCTAACAAATTCTAGAGATTGCTCTCTACCAGGCCCCTAGTATATAAGAGTTTATGGTGGAGACTACAAGTGTTCATCCACAACTTGTCTTCCACTCTTTCCTGGGTACATGGGAAGACTACACTGTGCAGTTTACTTATAGTTAGAAAGGATCTTATGACCAGCCCTTGCTACTGAAATATGAACACAAAGGATGTTTGTCACAAGCCAAAGCATTTGAGAGCCAAGATGCCACCATAATGTCCTTCCTTCCATCCTGCAGCAAACATGGGGACCCTATGTTGAGTTGTGAAAGTACAGGATGGAGGCAGCTTAGGTCTCTGTGTTACCTGGTAGCAAAGATTCCCTGCCAAATCAATCAGATATTATGTGTGCAAGAAATATACTTTTGTTATGTAAGCCATTCAGATTTCAGGTGTTGTCTCTTCCATTGGCTAGCATAAACTTTAATTCATACACAGCTATTACTTTTGCTGTTAGGCTTATTTAAATATTTTAATGACAAAGCTGATAGTGCACATATTCTTGATGCAAAAATGTTAAAAATACAGACAAATCACAATCTCCACCTTTACAATAGTCCTTCATAATTCAGCCACAGTCTCAGAGACAGCCACAATTAATCTATATATTATTTAAAGCTAATTGTAGGCTTTCTCATACATAACTGTTTTATAAAATTATCTATCATTTTAAAATATAATGGGTCATGATATACATGTTATTCTGCCATAAGTCTCTCACCCTTAACATGAATGCAAGATCTTTCCATGACAACACATATAGATCTGCTTTACTTTTATAACTGCTCCCATAGCATGTATGTGTCATGATTACTTTAAACATGTCCTTTAAAAAAAAAAGATTTTATTCATTTCTTTGAGAAATAGACAGAGAGAACACAAACCAGGGGAAGGGCAGAGCCAAAGGGAGAGGGACAAGCAGACCCCCAATGAGCATGGAGCCTGGATGCAGGACTTGACCCAGAGACCTCAACCTCAAGACCATAACCTAACTGAAAATCAGATGCTTAACTGACTGAGCCACCCTGGTGCCCCTAACCATGTCCTTCCAACAGGCACATAATTTGTTTCCCATTTCTTCTTATGACTTATAGAACTGAAATAATTTGAACATGACTTATTGGGCTAAAGTTTATTGGTCTGACAGAAGGTAGAAATTAGGTCAAAGTGAAGAATATCTGGGCATTGTAAACTTTTATAAATATTGCCAAAATGTCATCCCCAAAATACTCTACCAATTCATATTCTCACAAATTAATGCATGTTAATACCATAAACACTCTCATGTGTATTATTTTATAAATTGAAAGTACTTAATTTGAAAAGTAATGATTCAAAATGACCAGTTGACTAGGAATGGAGATAGACAAGACACTTACATTTAGTGACGGATGAATATCCAGAGAAAGAGCAATGTCCAAGGTCCATGAGAGAGACTACATGGAAATTCAAGTCCAGAGAACCCAGACCTGGTTGGTAGTCAAAGTTCTGAATCCAGAGTTCAGAGTAGGGGAGAAGGAATGAGAAAAAGAGATAGTGGGGAATCCCCATGGAGGGCCCAAGACAATACACATAGATAGGCTTGGGAAATCTCTGAATCACCATTAATAGCTGGAAACTATATGGTTATCTAAGTGGGGGAAGTTACTGGATGAAAGGACAGAAACATCCACCATTCTGTAGAAGTCCTGCATGTACTATTAGGCCAAAGATAGCTGTCTTTCCTGCATCATCCAATAATGTTACTAGTGGATTCTGGGAAAGCTACATGTCTTGACTACTCTGGTGGCCCACTGAACCTTTGCCTATGTATCAGGGCTGGGATCTGTCTTGGGATCTGCTGGCAATAGGCATTTCATCCTCTGTGCACAGTGCATCCTCTCTATTGAGGTCCGGGCTACATGAATCTTAGTGAGTAATGATAGGCAGCTGAGACAGACCAGAAACACCAAGGAGCAGTGGGAGGCAGCAGGCAAGAACAACAAGGAGGAGATTTAAAGAGGCTACCCTAGTACTAATTTCCTCAGTTGCTCTTCAGATAAAAGGCTAACTGTGGACAAGTCTCCTAAATAATCTAGGTGGTGTCCCCAGCACAGACTGCTTCTCATGTTTCCTGAGTTTGTGGCATCCACCAGAGAGTGGGTATCTTATGACTATGGTCACTGGCCTGCATTGCCAACAGATACTGGCTGACAGAGAGGGTTAACCTAAGGTGCAGAGATTTGCAGATTGGATTCAGAACCTATGGAGATTGTACTCTTCGTTTTCGAACTGACTTGGTGCTGGCGATGTGAGGAGCCCAGCGCAGGAAGCATCACATACCATCCCGTGTAAGCGTTCCTAACTCCAAGACAGTGTTTGAGCCAGGTTGCCCAAATACCTATAAATATCACTTATAATGAGGGCAGGATTTTTTCCTTTGTTCTTATGACATCATATCATTTTAATTCTCATTAGTAATAACAAGATTTAAGTTGCTGATTTCCATTTTTAGGAGGGAAATTTTAAAAATGACAGTAGCCTCAACTTGAATTATTAGTTGATAGCCCTGAAATTTCCCTAACCAGCCCTGATATCTTAAGGAATCCACTCAGTCTAATTATGTGAAATGACACAAAGACATTGAACACATCTATACCACAAAAGTTTAGTATTTCATGGAGTGCGTAGAGGTGGATAGGGGAGAAGGGAAACTGTTCAAGAGAAGGAAAACAAAAAATGTGGTCTCCGTTCCTCTTTTGCAGTGAAAGACATTTTTATTTTTAACTACCGGGCTTCTGTGTAAATTTTGTCTTAGAAAGAGAAGATATATATAACAGTTAAGTTTTTAGAAAACCAGTATCAAA